GAATTTTTTCATATTGCAACTTTGGAGCTTTATAACTCGAAAAGTACTCAATGAAGAAACATTTCATTACAATGTTTTGGAAAGCTCTCGAGGTCAGCTACAAGAATATGTAATAAAAAATAGGGGATGCCGTTTAAAAAAATTGAGGTGACTTTCATGTGACTTTCAAATAATTCTTCAAGGTCAAAGCAATGATACCATCTTATGGTCCCCTCGAAACCAAACAACTTTTGTCTGAAAAATTTTTCTCTCCCGTGCTTGGTTTTCGACATATTCGACTGGATGGATTAAAATGGTCCACCCTGTATATATTTATTTATTCCCAAAACTCCATTAAACCGATGACTCAAATAGATTCATTATATATGTTGCGAAAAAACTGCCTCCGCCAGGACGCATCTTCCCACTATCATATTAATATTAATAAGTAATATTAGTATCTAATAGCACTAAGCTATCCGTGTTTGCTCCTTATATGCCTTTTTTAAATCTTACCGTTAGTTAATCTATTTAAAGGAGCTTTTCTACAATTTCGGTTTATCTGAAATAAATAAAATTTTATTATTTGTTATATTTTATTGCACTATGCATCGCCATGAACTTATATTGCTATCATGTGATAGTATGGTGACTACGTCATTAGAGAAAAAATGGCGGACCAATCACGATGTTTCAATCGAGGTATTGTGACAGTATATGTGTTGGCCAGATTCTTATTAAAAGATCTCTAGGCTGATCTCAACCGTAGCGCCTCTAACGGAGGAATACATTCAACTGAGATTTTCGTAATGAGGAGACGACGACAACAAGTATAAATTTACGATTTCGGACTTTGAGTTAAAATATATCAGTTTCTAGAGCATGTACAGAAAAAGTAAGGACAGTTTTATTAAGTAATGTAAACCCAAGGAATCGAAGCCTATCCAGAATCTTATCCGTTCAGTTATAGTTGAACGAGGAACCGTGCCTGTGTTCAACTAAAGTCGTCGCGTAAATATACACAGTCGGCCGCGAGTCCGTTGCTTTCGCTTGCACTTGGCTTCGCGACACTACTTTGTCGTTTGATCTTCCAAGATATTGTTACAGCGCATTGGTATCACTAGTTTCCGTATGATCGTTGAAGTCAAGCAATGAACAGCATGGTTCATGTAAAGATAGGTGACCGCCTGACACGGGATCGAAACCACGCGGGTCTTACGAATAAAAGGCCTAGTTTCACAACCTCTAGTTAACTTAATTGACCGATAATTCCATTGGACTTGACCAATCGCATTTAGCGTTAAGAAGAGTTAATCAGAATTAACCAATTACTTGTTGAGACTTAACCGGTAGTTAAAGTTAAACGGATGTTGTGGAACTGGGCCTAAGTATTAGGTGGTAAACTTAGTTCCCGCGGTTTTTTTGTTTAAAAAACTCATTTATTTCGACACCAAAAGCAAAAAATACATTAATCGAAGTATTTTCCCTCGCTAGCTATACATTTTTCCCATCTTTCGGACAACGCGTAGATTCCGCAACGATAGAACGATTGGTCTTTTGATGCAATCTATTCGTCGATCCATTTTCGCACATCCTCGTAATTTCTGAAGTGTGTGTAATTTCTCCACCAAGCCGTGCTGTATCGACCGGAACAAGTAATAGTCCGAAGGAGCTAAGTCTGGTGAATACGCTGGGTGCGGGAGAACTTCCCACTCGAGCTGCATCAGTGTTTCTTTGACGGCTTTGGCAACGTGTGGTCGAGCGTTGTCGTGCAAAAGCATGACTTTACGTCGATTGCTGGCTACTGCTGGCCTTTTTTCCAACAATGCTTCATTCAGACGGTTTAATTGTGATTGATATCGATCCCCCGTGATACTTTCGTTCGGTCTGAGTAGCTCATAATAAACGACGCTGTGCATATCCCACCAAATGCAAAGCATTGCTTTGTGGCCATGAATATTTCTCTTTGGTGTGGATGTCGATGGTTGGCCAGGGTCTACCCATGATTTTCTTCATTTAGGATTATCGAAGTATATCCATTTTTCATCGCCAGTCACTATGCGCCACAAAAAACTCTTCTTTTTCTGCCTGGCGAGCAGAGAAATAGAGATGTTTAAGCGATTCGCAATGGCATTTGCGGTTAATTCGTGTAGTACCCATTTTCCCTCCTTTTAAATTTGTCCCATTGCATGTAGACGTTTGGAAACAGCCATCGGAGTAACATTTAATGCTGCAGACAATTCTTGGAGCGTTTGAGTAGAGTTTTCGTCCAATAATGCCTGCAAATCGGTGTCTTCAAACTTTTTCGGTTGGCCTGAGCGTTCTTTATCATTGACATCAAAATCACCACTCTTAAATCGCTGAAACCATACTTGGCATGTTCTTTCCGATGGAGCATAATTGCCATAAGCTTCGAAAAGCAATTTATGAGCTGCAGCTGCAGTTTTTTTCAAGTCAAAGTAATGAAGCAGCACATGTCGAAAAAACAACTTATCACGTTCCATATTTAATCAAAAGAAAAAATAGCACTGCTCGCTTAAATGAATCTCTTCGCACTGAATTTTATTGACAAATGTCTAACCTCTAAAATGCAGCCAGTTTCAGATGTCAAAATAAATTACACCTACAACTAACGTCATCTAACTGTGAGCCGCAGGAACTAAGTTTACCACCTAATAAAACGACACAAAATATGAAATGCTAGGTTTTTTTATTATTTAGACAAAATAATCAATTATTGCGATAAAAATCAATTATCTGAACCATACTAATGAATAAATCGTTGGAATTTAACAAAAAATAGAGATTAATTAAAGAACCTACGAAACGACAAAATTTGCGCGCAATCTGCCGTCAATCTGCCGTCAGAGTTTGCCAGCAGGCTCTGCGCGCAATCTGCTGTCAATCCGATGTCAAAGTCTGTTAGCAGACACTGTCAGCAGTCTGTCAGCGTCCCTGGGGACGCAGATGTCTATGGATCTGTCGACAGATCCTGCTCGAATTCGATAGATTCTGTCGCCAATCTGATGTTAGTGTGCGCATAGATTGCAGGGTTTTATATCTTTATAAAGAAGGAGAGATGTATATTCTTTTATAGAAATGTAATACTGATAAGTAATAATTTGGCCAGTGATAATTACTGTCGTTCAATAATTATCACTGGCCAAATTATTACTTATCAGTATTATATTTCTATAAGGGTTTAATATGTGTTTTCTTATAAAATTGCACGATAAATTTAAATTATAGATTAAAAGACAATTAAATAATTCTACTAACATTGTATTACAATTAATATTTAAAGTTTCTGCGGTATGTAATAATGTTTAAATGAATTATTTGTTCTGCACAGTTATATAAATGTTACGTAGATAATACAAATTTTTATGTGCAATAATTATAAGAAATTCGTGCTCAAAAACTATAAACTTGATTAAATATTTATATAAGTACTAGATTTCTCATAATTATTTTGTAAATCAAAAATAATAAACTAATTATGTTTTATTTCTTGCATGTCGTTAAACTCTAATTTAATATTAATTTCTTATTTATATCTACAGTGATCTATCTTACAATAAAACACATTTCGTATATTAATCCATAGTGACCTATCTAAATTTCCGTATTATTTCGATAAAGATCAACAAAGTTGCGTTTCTGCTATAGGCAGTGATCGGTTATGGTAAGGACGAGGACATTACTTGGCAGTGTGGAGGAAGTGTTATTTCCGAGAATTTTATTCTGACTGCAGCACACTGTGTGGAATCGCTGAACAAGTAATGACTTTGTTACGATTACTATCATATCGATGTTCCTTATCTTAATAGTTCCATCTTAATAGTCTCGAATAAAATATCGAATGAAATATCACATTATTATTGACATTATGTGTGTTCTAGTGGTCCCGCAACGAAAGTGCGAGTCGGTTTGATTGATTTATTAGCTCCAGGTGACGCTATGCAAGAGAGAAGTATCACGAAGAGCATAAAACATCCGGATTATAAGCATGCAGTTAGTTACCACGATATAGCGTTGTTTAAACTCGATCGGCCGCTAAAGCTGAACTCTCAAGTACGTCCTGCGTGCCTGGAAGTAAACTTGCAAATACATGGAAAAAGTGCTATTGCTTCCGGATTTGGAAAAACTTCTTACGGTTTGTACTTTCTGAATGCTTGGTTCAATATATCATGTACGATAATATTCCAGATTACGGGACACCACCGATGACCTTGTCCTTCACATATGTTGTCAAGGACATTGTCAAGGCCCTTGTCCTTCACATATGTTGTCAAGGACATGTCCTTGAGTAACATTTAAAAAGTTTAAATGGCGGTTTTTTCTTTATTAAAAAATTATGAACAAAAGAAATTTCAAAAATGCGGTATAGATTTTCGAAATTTCATGTTGATTAACGTTAAGTATTCATAACAAGTATAGTTATGTAACAAAAATATTTTGTTTATTTTCAATAACTCGTTTCTGTAGTGTCGTGATGGTCACTAGTGATATATTATGTATTTATTTATTATGAATTTTTAACTATTTATAACGACATTACAATATTATACTTATTGTTTGTTAAAAAGTTCTTAAAAAAGTTTTTTTATAAATGGCTCTGCTTAAAATAATAGATAGAAAATGATAAAAAATTCTGGCTTTCTTTCCCAGTAGTGATTTTGTCTCTCTTATTTCGTGACGTAATTTAAGAAATTTGATACAGGAGGCCTATCATATATTATCATATCCCTAACAAATATCCTATAATATACATTCTTTATTGTCTTATGTATCTTTTTATTTTTCAATGATAATAAAAGTTGTGGTAAGTATGAAGTTTAGGGGACCCATCTCCGATGACCTTGATCGTGATATATATATTATCAAATACATCCTTTTCCCTTATAGAAATATCATACTAAGAATCATTGATAATTACTTATTTTCAGTATTAAAAATACTGGATAATAAGTAATTATCAATGATTCTTAGTATGATATTTCTATAAGGGTTGAGTAACAATCAAGAGGTTTTAACCGCTGTTCATTGTTTATTAAAAAGTTATTAGTAAAAGAAGTTATATAAAATGATTGTAATTTTTGGACACCGTATATACAACACATCAATTTGTAAGCTAGGAAGATGCCTGTACACACACACACACACACATCGCTTGCCAGCAAGCGCGTCGCCCGCCTGAGCGATGTGTGCATGCGAGTGTGTGTGTGTGTGTGTGTGTGTGTGTGTGTGTGTGTGTGTGTGTGTGTGTGTGTGTGTGTGTGTGTGTGTGTGTGTGTGTGTGTGTGTGTGTGTGTGTGTGTGTGTGTGTGTGTGTGTGTGTGTGTGTGTGTGTGTGTGTGTGTGTGTGTGTGTGTGTGTGT